CTAGTGATACTTGATAAGCTCACTGCTAAATAGTAAACATCGACTCCAGAAGTAAATACATATCCAAGAGTCTATCAACAACCCAAGGAGGCAGTTATGTTCTGCAATCTAAAAAAAAATCCCAAAAAAACCTCAAAATTCCATCGGCCCTGCCGGTTTTAAGAAAAGAAAAAGAAAATTTATCCCAGAGTGAGAGTGAAATCGGCGCTCAGAGAGCAAGAGTAGGTGTTCACATCGTCGGGGAGCTGATAAGCATCCTTGCAGTCAGCATCGCCAGCGGCACAAGAAACCGTCTTGCAGCTCGAGTCACTGGGCACAACGGTGAAGCCCGCCTTGACAAAGTCGGAGCTCGCGTCGAGATCGATGGAGGACATGTCCCAGAAGAGGGTATCGCCATTCTGGGTGTATTCGAACTGAAGGACGCTCTCCTCGGTCTCGCTGGTGGACAACTTGATGGAGATACCGCCGCCGTCGGAGTTGGTGGTCCAGTTCTCGCTGTAGTCACCCCCGGAGCTGATGGTCTTCATGGAGCCAGCATCGGACGAGGTGGTCCACAGGTAGACGTCTTTGCCCATGTTGTTCACGATCTCAAGGCCGCCGCCGCCAGAATCACGGGTCTGAACGGCACCGGATTCTCCGGAACGAGCGGAAAGAGGGAAGGCAGCAGCGGTGGCAGCGAGAAGGCCGGTAAGGAAGACGTTGAAAGTCATGATGGAAGATTGTAAATTGAGGGAGTGGAAGTGGGACAAAAGTTCACCTGATTTACAGAGATACTAAAGTGACAGTAATGGAGGATCAACCTCGAAAGAATGAATGACTTCAAGAAGAGAGTGACTTGAAGGATCAAAGAATGTGTTTGAAGAAAGAAAGAAAAGGGGATCATGTCTGCGGAGGTCCATCTTTTATATGCTTGCTTGGTGGAGTCGCTCCGAATGAGGAGAACTTTGCACGAGGAACCAAAAGGTGAGACTGTGGATAGAGTGTGGATAGACTACAATTCTATAGATGTGGGGTTCGATCAATAAGGTTGGCTTCCGAGAACCGGTAGCCAATCATAGCATGCGGCTGAGGCTTCCACATGCGTCTCGAACACTTTGTCAGCTTTCGATTCTTTAAACTCAGATCGATCCAAGCATTCAACGAGATTGGTTCGAAATTCGACCACCTTGCACTTTCCAAGGTTGATGCCCTTCCGAAACACACCAGAGAGAGGGAAAAAACGGATCTGACATCAGTTCGCATGGCTTCTGAGATTGTCCACCGTGGTTCGCAACTGCCCGGCAGTTTGATAGACTTACATTTTGCGTCAGCTTCCTGTGGCAATATTTCCTAAGCACGGTAAACTTACCCAAAGCAGCCGATTATTCAATGTTCATTATACATAATATGTCTTCTGGATGCTATCTACTATAGAAGACCTCAAATAACTTCTCGGTAAGATACTCTTACGTGTTGTAGTTCAACACTCGGACTTTAAATCCAAATCTATGTTATATCCAGGTGGGTTCCTATAATCCACCAACTCAGCCACACTTTTTGCCACGATATTCTGTGGGACTTGTCATTCGACAAATTATTAGCAAGCGCGTGTTTCTTGCTGAGTCATGTTCAATATTATCAAGCGGTTGAGTACTTCGCCTCCTTCGGTCAACTCGGATATATCGGATCATACGTTTAACTCTCGCCTCTCCTGCCTTTCCTGGTTCTACCCCTCGCAGAATGTGCCTGTGGTTTCCCTCTCTTTGGCAGAATGTACCTGTGGCTAAATCCACCAAAACCAGGAATACACATTCCCTGGCTGCGTTAGAAGGGCAAGAGAAGAAGAAAAGAAGAAAAAAAAAGAAGAAAAGGAAAAAGAAAAACCAAATTGACTTTTCGTTGCCTCTTCAAGAGCACTTGATCACAGGAACACGCACAAAATTCAAGGTACGGTATAACAGCATCTACATCATACCTCTAGCTTCTTGGTAAGCCTCGCCTTGAATACCTCAAACTTCTGGCTGATTCTCCTGTGTAATCATCCGGCTCGGCTCAAAAGCAGTGGCAAAGATCTGAAGAGGAATAAGCACCGAATTGGAGAAATATGGTCAATGACTCCCGCACATATGATTGATTTGGAACCTGGAGGACAGATCCAGTTGGAAAGTCCAATAATTAGGGAGCCCTCAAAAGAAAAGCAATCCAAAAATGTCCCAAGAATGACAGCATCCTGGAATAGAGCAAAATCTTGCTCCAACTGACCCCAAACCTACTCCAAGTGCTTACGATTTTCCTTTCATAGAATATCTCGTATAGGTCGTTTGTATATGAGAGTTTGCCATCTTCCAGGCCCAGAGCTAAACCCACCGTGCGAAGATTTTAGGCTTTAGATGACTAACCAGAGAACGAAACTGGGAATCGTAGCCCCTCCACGGGTCGAGCGTTTCAACAGCCTCAAGCAAGTACTAGAAAGACCTACTAGCCCTGTAATTCCGACTGCAAAGCTGACGGGTTCCATGGAGGATGTACTTAGGTGCGGATAGTGGAGCGAATAGGGTGTTAGACCAATAAGCCGGACGAAAGTATGGGAGTACTTCTTATGGCATAAGTATTGAATCCTATTTACTATTTCTTTTTCATCCTTTGCTTTTGTTAACCTTGCCGTACATCCGGCGACTCGGTATATTTTTTTATTATTAGACTATCATTCGGCATGTTATGTTGCTATGTATACTCACAAGAAATCCGCTGTCTACCGCATATTGGAATCCGACACAGCGCCCTGGACCTGTATATGCAATCCTATCGAAATGACGAGTTGCGTCCCTTAGCATAATGCTACACCCGAAGTAGACATAGATATAGTCATCTCGGTTCCCGGGGATTAGTTGGGTTAGGGCGGCTGGCGTTGTCGTCGTGGGTAAGGCAGAAGGTTGGCGTGTTAGGGATTTTAAAGAGTACAAAGGGTCATTGCAGGCGAAGTGGCCGCGTTTTGTTGGGGTGCGGATAGTGGGGCGCTCCAATGAGGGTTTTCGCAGGTCTGGGGCAAGCTCTGGAAGGCGGCTGGCGTGTATATATAAGAAAAAAAAAAGATATACTATGAAACTTGTTGTATGTCCACAGTAATAGTCTCAATGAAGGTCCTTAGTTTGCTCGGGCAGGTGTGACCTTATGTGAGGTTTTCCTAAGGGTAAAGGCAGACGGGTCGTTGAGAAAGGCCCATAGGCTATATACCGTCGGCATCCGATCTACATCGTAGCGATTGAAAGCTGCCCGATATAGACTCTGCATTGCTGTCTGTAGACACTATTCAGTCCACGAGGTATTAGCAGGAGCCCGTACGATACGCGGCTTTGGTCGTCTATTTCACAAGTTATCTAAAGGAAGAAGAAAACAAATGTGATGAATCTTGTGGTTTAGCCACGCGGTCATGAAAAGACATGCACCGGTCTTAAAACCAGCCATGAGAATGAATTCGCCATGTTTAATGTACAATGCTTCGACACAAGCCGTAGAAAGCGGCATTAAAAGCGAGGAGGAAAGTAGGAACCAAACGGGAGCCTCTGTGCTATGTTGTTTATAATGACATCGACCGAACGCCTGAGAAGAGAGACTTGATGTTTATGAAGACAGGGGTAGAAAGGAGGATATTTTGACGGCGATCGAAGGAAGATATGGACCGAGAGGAGGGTATTCAAGCGAGGGCCTTCTGCTCCGACGGAGGCATGGGAGGAAGCTAATAATGTTCATGGTTAGCAGACACGTCTAATTGCATACTCGAAGGTGACAAGATTCCGCATACCTCGAGCTTTGTGTTATCGGCCATCATGCGCTGGAAACCAATACCGACACCCTCGATGACAGCGAGGAAGACGGCACACATAATAGCGGAGTTTCGGGCGGCCTTGAAACCACCACGGATGGCGAGGGAGCCACCGGTAAAGAAACCAGCAATGATTGCATTATAGGGATCTTCCTTCTTGCGGATACCCTTAATTGAACAGTCGTAAATACTGAAGAGACCTCCCCAGCAGCCGAAGTTACCACCGAGGACGGGAGCGCGCGCTTTGATTGCTGAGAGCGCACCTATCCGGCGCTCGCCGTACGGACTATTGCGGAATCCCTTAACACCGTGCCAGACGGCACCACCAATAGCACCCATGGCGAAGGCACCTCCGAAATCGCTCAGGGCAACCCAGGGACAGGGATCGCGCGTGTGATCCATGATGTGTGAATGAGGCGGACGGGCGGAAAGTTGGGAAGAAAAGGCGGATCACCGGGACGAGATCAGATGCGAAAAGCGTGATAGTCGTAAACGTCGAGGATTTAGGAATGGCAATAAACCCAGCGGTGACACGAGATAAGGTGTAGCTCGGAGTTGGATCAATGGCTTTAGAAATTACAGATGGGGTACACGTGACCTTGAAAAAAAGTCCCCTGAAAAGTTTGCAAAGTTTGCATATAATTAGTGCCTCAGGTAGAACTTTAGCCAAATATCTCTTGGCACTTATCAGCTTTTGAATGACACCAGTGGCACACCACTATGTTTAGTTACGTATGTTAATTAGGACGCTTAAATCACAACATCGACTTCTGCAAACGAGGCGTACATCAACTCCATTTTCATGAGAATGAGAACTCTGCGGTGAGTTTCTTATGATGTCGTTTAATATCTTGTTCATGCGTTTCACGGTCGACTTAGGTTTATTCTGTACTGTTTTTTATACAGAAAATCATGTCTGGTTTCACGCCAATGGCAGGGAGTTTTCATGACAGTGATCTAATCAAGTTGTATAGTTCCAACATCTATAGTGCTTACCTAAAGTCTATTTATGAATGCTATCAAGTGCTGCATTATGACTGTGTATCAACTTTCCCCTGTACACCCTCGCTTTGAACATTGGCCTCGAGATAACTCGAAACATCCGCGCTTTCTGAACCGGATATGCTCTCCCGACTCGATTTAAGCCTCCTGTAACAAATTTATTAGAGATCCTTGACTTGATGGTTAGGGGGCTGACTCACTCTTCTCGTGAAATAAAGAATTGGATCACATGGGCGAGCAAAATCAAGCAGATGGCATTTCCGAGGACGAATGAGTATCCCTTGGTGAAGCGCGGCGCTTCAACGGTCTTGAAAACCAAAAGAGGAGTCCATGCTGTGGTTGACTGGGAGACGGTATTGATGATGATGAGAGTTAGGGCGCGTTCAACCGGAGAAGCTCGAAGCTGACTGTTAACCCAACCGTAAAGAACGCTCGACATGGCAACAGCAGAGTAAGTAGTCAGGAACGCGAACCATAGCGTCGATTCAGAGACGTCCCAGACAACCAGAATGATCAGTCCGATAATGTTCCATATATGGGACACTGTAATCGCCCAAGCAGGTCCAAAGAATAGATCCGACGAGAAGCAAATGAAGAGCGTGTAAAAGATACCCAAGCCAGGGGAAATAGCAGCTAGCTCATTCAAGCGGCCGGTAGGGTATCGGTCCAGACTCTTGAGCCACAGCTGGTATCCACCGGCAGTGGTATTTATAGACCCATTCCAGAAAAGCACATCAAGTAAAAGTAGAGCCCAGAACTTCCAGTTGCTGGCGACCCTTAGAACCGACCGCCAAGAGAGACTGCTCTCTTTTGTTTCGTGCGCCACTCGTTCCAGTCGGGCTTTGGCTATCTGTACATCTTTTTCTTTCAACACCAATTTGTTCGGCCTGTCGGGCGATCCGGGGAGGACGAAGTAACCGAGGATTGCGATTGGGAGGGTGATGATTGCGCAGATAATGTACATCCATCGCCACCCGGCGAGTCCATTGACACCGTCTAGTCGAGTTGAGGCGCCCGCTTGGATCAGACTTGCTGTTAATGTGCCGAAGGTCAGGCCGACATAAAAGAATCCTCCGCGGCGGGCGATTTCATCGCCGCGATACCATGAACCTATTGTCAATTAGTGATGGATTCTCTGACAAGGAGTTTAGATTATGCTTACCAAAAGTGTAATGCATTGCCGGGAAGAAACCCGCCTGGCTGATGTCAGTACTCTCATTTAGTCAATCAGACCTCTCTATACTTACTTCAAACCAGCCGACGAAAAAGCGATAGGCTGCCATCTCTGCATAAGAGTTCGCCCGGTACTGCAACAACGTGAAGATTCCCCACATAACATCCATACACGGAATCATCCAAGACATTGGAAGCTTGGTAAATAGGAAAATGAAGGGCAGTTGTCCGACCACTGCTCCAATAGTATACATTGTTTGCAGCTGTACAAGCTCATTTCCGTGTAGACCTAGGTCATCTTTGAGGCCGGAGACGTAGGCATTGTCTGGCTGCTGTCAGAATTGACTTTATACTTCATATCCCGTCGGAGGATTTCTCACTTATGTTTGCCTGGTCAATGTATTTAGTCCAGTATGCGAGGAACGCGTAAGGAACAATCAGCAAGTCGAGTTTGGTGATGAGACGTCTCTCCTCTGGAGTGTCCTGGTCTGCAAACCATTGCACCTTCCACCATTTCCGCCGTTGTTGGGGGACTGTCATATTTGTGTATACCCAACAAACAGGATTTGGAGAACTTATATAGCAGAGTCTAGCTAATTACATAGCCTCGGTGATCGGCCGAAAAATCTAGTTGACGATAGGCCAAGATCAAGATGTCACCGGAGACTGTGATTGCGTGCTGAAGAAGCTCTGGCAGCTATTGCGCCAACTGAGGAGACGATGAGGAAACGCCAATCGGATGTTTTACAACACAACACTAACTGATGATAAGTCGGCTGTCGAAATGCGTATCTATGTTGTAGGCGTCTTGGACCGTTTAAGCTCCCTTTTTCCCTCGATCTTAGCTAGTTAACGTATTTCCTGCACACCCAACCCAACTGATTGGATTTGAATACGTTTATCTCAACTAAAGTACAATTAATTAATTAATTAAATTAGATTAATTCATCTATATATGTCCCACTTCTATGCCCTAGAGCCCTACATATTCCACATCCTCGCGGTGCCGTGTTCGTGGCTGTAAGCCCTCCAAAACCTGCTCACGATAGTTATTGAGGGTTGAGACGCGCTAATTGAGCCTTATATGGCTCCGAACGTGGCTCATAAACCGCCTGACTAAATGATCCCTTTCGTGGGCTATGTGCCTAGTCGACCGTTTGCTTCTGCTTCTCATTGGCGGCTCGTAAATCGCTTACTTCTTTCTCAAGAAAAACTGTGGATTGTATTATGATTTGGCAGGCTTTTAAACCCGTATCTATCGCGCAAATAAGCGGGCTCGGAGGGCTTCTTGATCTTGCACGAAGTAATACTTCAATTGACGAAGTTTACTTTTATAGTAAACCCTCGTTATAATGAACCCGCTTTTAACAAATACCTGTTTTTAACGAACTGATATTGGTGCACCAATTAATCTGCATAGTACAACATAACGAAGTTTCCTCCTTATTGCGAACTTCGTTAATCCACCTTTCCTCTCATACAAAATTCGTTATAACAAGGTTTTATCACACCATTTTGACCATCTCTAGCCAATTAAAATGCCTTGTCGATTATCTCTACAGCACCTTAGCAAGGCTCAGGAACACTCTTCACAAAACTGCATGAATACTGGTGACATTGCCATCTGCTTTGGGTAAGCTCCCGCAAATCGATCTTCTAAACCTTAGCCGATACTAAGTCCGCAGACCAACCTTAATGTATGCTAACTCCGGTGGCCATCTAGCAAGTTCGCGTCATCGAGACAATTGTGAAAAAAACACTTTGAGACCTTTATAGATGATTAGATTACTTGACCTTGACAGATAATAACAATGGTTTCTATGCTTAGTACTTTCTCAATAAATGACTTCTAGTGTAGATTTCACTTAACACCATAATAGACCCACTGATATATTGCTACAGTATGTATGTGTGTACACAGAGAGTATAAATAGAAAGTCAGTGAGTGACATGTAGGCGGTGAGTTTACATATCAGACTTGTCACTATGGCAAAAGTACCAGATATATTTGCTCACTTAGCGAACTGGTACCGTATGAAGCCGTCTGGACTGTTACTTTGTAACTCGTAGAGATTATGGAGACAAACGGATATATGTATGTAGGTTTCTGGGTAGATGTCACGTTAGTAGCTAGATGTACCTCTGTTGTTAACCTCAGCTGGATCAGGGAAGCTGGCCACTGGTGCTTTACAAGACATCTGTATAAGGCAAATGCTAGAGATAATTGGCTGGCTATCCAATAGACATTGGAAATATGTCTTAGCTTCCAAGTTTGCTACGTGATTCTTCACAACTATGACTGTCTGGTTCTCTCCACCGACAGTTGTTGTCGATAGTCACTAGTTATGTACATTGCTCTTGAATATCAAACCGAAAGGATATTTCGTGTAACATTGAATGAAGCTCCAAATCTAGACATTCTATGCAAAATGGGACAGGAATCTGGGAAGGTTATGTGCATAAAGAGCAAAGGGTTGAAACAAATCAGATAAATACTGAAATGATTAGATGCCGATAGAGGGGTCATGCGCATCTTTTACAACTCCAATATTACTTTTCAAACCCTAGCATTGACATTCAAATGGGCCTTACGGAGTAGTCGAGATCTCAGTAGAAGCGTTAGCCCTAATCTTCAACATTTCTCCCTCGGTTGGAGTCAACCAGAAGCTTGGAGCTGGTGTGTTCTTGGATCACGCGTCTAGCCAGCAGATCTCTCTTCCTCTATAGTTGTCCGTCTGCTCTTTCTTTCATGAATGCACACATATTCTTTCTCTTGGCAGATCATTCATTTTGTCTCATGCCCTAGAAGAATATATATTCCTCTCAAATAAAATGACATTTCTTGCCAGCAGTACGGCCCTTCCTTGAAATGTGACTAAACCCAAGCCCATATCCATCTTTTTATGCAGTTTATCAAGACGCATCTAGTTCGTCTGTCTGCGAATGGAGGGATAAGACTGACTACTATACTACATATGTAACTAGGATTTGTAGCCAATAATTGTTCGCCACAAACGGCGTTATAGTTATTGTATTTTTTTGTTTTTTTTTTTGTAGAAAGTCCCAAATCAAATACACGATCGTGATATCCACACTAGACACAAATCAACGTAAAATCCATCATCATTCTTATCTTCGCAAAACTAGAACAAAATAAACAAAGTCCCCAAATCTCAAAACCAACGAGAACATTGGAAACACCTGAAGTCATTGACTTGAAGCTTTCCATCTCCTAAGCTAGGTAGATTGTTGTCAGAGAGGTTGTTGTTTCAGAATAAAAGAGCGGATTGTACATACCGACTTCAGGGAATAGTCTCAATTGCTTCTGCCATTGCATCCTCAAAGATTGTCGCTTCCGGTTCAACCCCCTTAGGAATATATAATGTCGTCATTACAGCGTGAGTCCCGCCGTTCTTGTCACGCCATTGCTTGATTGAGGATGGGATTTTGCCGGCATTCGGCTGCAGCTGGTATTTGTGGTACTCTTTTCCATCTTCCTTTGTGACAACACCGTCATAGTCCCACCGCACGCCATATCGAAGAAGATCTGCAGGCGTCTTGGGCCAGACAGTCTTTCCTCTACCGGCGGTCGGAAAAAAGAACTTTCTGAGATCAGCAGGGCGACCAGAAATGAGCTTGACAGCAGTGTAAACTGTCTTGAGGGTGCTTCGCATTGTCAAAATTGAACTTGGGGGTTCGGGAGTATGGAATTGGGACTGGATATGTTGAGTCTCAAGTGAGTGAATAAATGTACTTCGGAACACATTCGAAGAGTACTTCTCTCCCCTTTATACCTGGACTCATGACATACAGCGAGTCATGCAGAATCTTCGTGCATTGATCTGAGTCTTGGGAGGGAATTCATTGGTAACGAACGATGGATCGATCATGAGGCCGATTGGTGAAAGTACATCGAAACAGCTAGTGCCAAACACGAAATGCGCCTTTTTTGATGACAGCGCTTACCAGGTGGGGTTGGAGACAGTCCTGGAGCACCTCTGTCTAAAGATAGATAATGACCTTTCGGATTTTCCCGCTCAGGCATACATACATGTAGGTATCCTGCATGTGATGATCTATAGATATACCAGCCACCAATCAGGACCAGCAGCTTAGCGCCAGGTGCCACGAGGCCACACCATACAGAAACATGGACTTTAGTTTTTTTTTATCGGACGATTTAGAATGTTTTTTGTTTCATATAGCATTTATCTTGAACGCCAGGCGCCTAAAAACCCCGGAAATAGCATTATACGACGATGATCAAGATGCACGTCCATTAAAAGAACTCCTCATGATCCTGAAAAGGCCAGCCTCGCTTGATGTTCTCAAGCTCGTCTGCACTGCCACCTTCTGAAAACTCTGCTTTGAGGGCCTGATTCCGTTTGGTGGCATAGTCGTACTGGTCAGTCCGGACCCAGCCTTCCTCTGAGATCCCCCTAGTTCATCACGCCAGTGGTCAACAAGCATGTTTAAATTGTCCCACATTGGCTCTCTCTCAGTTTGTTCTCCAATTTCCTGCTCTGAAAATCCAATGGGACACTCAAAATTCTCATCCTTCCCCGGGACGTAGGACCATATGTCACGCATGCGCATCAAAGCTCCCCGCAAGGTCATGAGATTGCCCGACCATTGGCGGCCCGCAAAATCCACTAGATGCTGGCGTGATAGAATCAAGGGATCCTGTAGAGCTTTGAGATGCACTTTGTTTAGTCCTCCATTGAAAACTCGGTATAAATAGAAGAGAGATTCCCGCCGGATGAGCTCGTCAACTTGAGCCTTGTCATTAGGACTCATGGTATCATAGCCGTCTGGATATTTTGGCGGGACCAAGCCTGTTGGGGGCTCGGGGGAAGGGTTCTCAAATAGCCTCGGATAGCCAGCAGCAAGGAGCAATGGGATGACAACTGTATGTTGCCAGTCGATAATGCATGTGACCTTGAATGTGTCCGGGCACACAAAGACATTGCTGGGAGTAAGGTCTGTTGTTGCATTTAGCTTTTATCAGTCTGATGGTTAAAGATTTGTGTACACACCAGGATGGCGAAGAGTAGGTCGATTCAAAATATCTCGGGGGTCTTTCGGAAGAAGATAAGGAGCAATTGCGATGTACTTCTTAAGGAGCACCAAGTAATCTCGGTCGGAGTTGACACCCGGAAAAACGGTGTTATGTGGAAAGCCGCACTCAAGCGGCTTCCCGAATTGCTCTGTCCACTTGATTTCTTTGTTGGCAATTGCAAGAAGATATTGCCGTGGGTCACTCCCTATGATATATTCAGCTTGGCGTTATGTATCATTTTGCTTGGGCAGAAGCATACATGGTCCCCTATCCAAGTCAAGATTTGCACGTTTCCCATACCAAAACATGTAATCGGCAATGGGCCCGATACAGTAGGTCTCAGCATCTCGGTCCTCGTCGGGTGTGCCTGGCTGATATAGTTGGCCCTGCGAATGGGGAGGGAGATCTTTTTTGAAATAGAGACTGCCAACAGAAGCAAATGGTATTCCCATAAGCTTTTTTTCAATGTCAACGATCCCTGTTACCAACTCCTTTTTCTGGTATTTTGTCGTGTCAAACCAGCGAGTATCCGCACCAATCCCTGATGCATGCTCCATGATGATGTACTCCACACCGACTGCATTTTCAGTCGTAGAAGACCAACCATAGACTTCAGGTACTGGGAACCCCTTGGAGCGAAGAAATGTAAGGGTTGCGACTTCGCTGGCGGTTGCATACGTCTTTGGGACGGATATCCAGTATGGGATTTTGACGATGGCCCTAAAGCCGTCTTCCATAGTGGCAAGGAGGACGCGATTAAAGCCACCTTCACTATGTTTGACAATGCTCTTTACGTTCCCATGGCCAACGTGCTTCGCGACCACATTTTCGAGTGCGGAAACATTGAATGGTATGTGTCGCTCAAGCATGCGTGCTTTTTCATTGTAGAGGAATCGTCCGGAGGAGTATGAAAAAAGGGGATCATCGGGCATCAAGTCTTGGTCCAAAAATTAGCTTCGTATCAAGGGAATAGACAGTGTTTAGAACTAACTGACCCGTCGACATTCGGTGGGAATTAGTGAGCGTCCTCGTGGTTGAGTTGAAAGCAAGCCGACGAGAATTCAGCGTGGTAAATGAGCGGAAGCGAGTGTGAGCGCACAGAATCCGTATAGACATTGAAGAGGAAATGAGTTTTGTCTGTGCAAAGTCAACGGAGAGTCAAATAGCTTGGATCATACAGGGCGGCTATGCATAACTAGTTAGTTACATGGCCTCGGGCGGTGTGTCTGCTTAGTCACAAGATAAGCCCTGGAGCCTTGGCCGGAATAAGGCAGCTGGATACCTGGGCACGAACAAAGAGTAGTAAAGGTAGATGGATGCCTTTCCAAGGATTAATTGGGCTTAGGATATCGAAATGGGCATGAGAAAGGAAAACTAGAGGATGTACAAAGTACATTAGAGATAATGCCCCCAAAAGTATAGGGGAAAATTTAGACTATTTAAGATTAGACCATAACAAAAATTAAGGTATTTGTTTAGGGTCTGGTGGAGCCATATCGAAGGTTATACAAAAGTCAGAGAGCTTAAGAAGCGGGAGAAGATATCTATAAAAAGAACATCTAAAAACTGGATCATACCGTTCTCAATGACAGAGGCCGCAAACGCGGCCGACTCTTCTTGTCCCAGTATCCATGGGTATCTATTTTCTTTCCCTCATAATCTTTGGCAAAAAATATCATTGCTTTGATAGCCCCAAAACTGCTATTGTTTGTGGCCATTTTATCATTATCATAAAATACCATTCTCTCTGGTCGAGTCAACCCGAAAATCCTTCCATATCTGGATCCCATCAGGTGGCATCGCATTCGCAGCCAACTCCGTATCCGATTGCTCATCATCGTCACTCCACCTCGTCTGGGAATCGTGATTCGCAGGTTTGTGGCTGTCTGCCGTGATCTCACTTCGATTAGTGCCAGCATCCATGCGAGTGAGAGAATATTCCTGCGCCGAGCGCTTCTTCGCACATGGCTCCCCCGATGGCGTCCCAGTCCTGTGAGCGGATGAGCCCAGCCAACTACCAGGAAGCACGGCGGAGAACACGCTACGGAGAAGGGGCAGGTTGGCCGCGATGAGAGCGAGTTGCTGTTCGATGATACTCCACATTAACGGAATGGGAAGGGTATATGTGAGATCGTTGAAATCGATGCGCATGAGACTGTCAACGCGGACCATACTGATTGCGCTGACACTGTGGTTCAAAAGGTTAGCCATTGAACGTGCAATCGAGATCAGAGCACAACCACCGATCCACTTACAACAATCCTATGGAAAATGCTACCGATAAGCCTATCTTGCGGCCCACGGGTAGCTGGAGCCTCCAAATATATGGGATTGGAAGTAACATGACCATGAGATCGGTCACCATGTTGAGTACTCCGGCTACCACAAAGGCTGCATTATGATTTCCGCATCCGCCCTCAGGTAGCGTCGGGTTCCAGTTAAAGGCGACGGGGTGACAAATAAGAAAGGACTCGAGGATGATACTCAGTCCCCACGCCAACACAATGGTACCGGTGACATAAATGGCAATCCGCATGCTGGCTTTGGTACCAAAGAGCTTGTGATAGAGAATCATCATCGATGTTTTGACAAGCGTGAGGCCAATTGCATAGAGAATTTGGCAGACGATAATCATCTGCTCCGCGCTGTGGTGAGCTTCATCCACCGGTTGGAAGGGCTATTGTGCTTCACATACCTTGAGATTGAATTCGATGTCTGTAAAGGCGACATTTCCCGTGTTTGCATGTAACCCAACGCCTCCCTTTGTCACCACTGCGTGAGATACCCGTTAGCGCTGCCTCTTGTTCCATTCTGGGACGAGTTTCATACTCAATATTACAACCACAGTACACACCATTACCAAAATCTGCAGGCTTCGTCAGTCTCACGTCACGCTAGAAAGGCCGTTTGATGAGCGTACCGTCGCACTAATCATGAAATAATCATCCAAGCCTAAGCTGATGCTTCTCATTCTCCGAGACACGATTCGAAGAATCGTGGAACTCAGGGAAATCACCCCAAAGACAAGCATCACGATCACGACCTCCCTGCCGTCCTCCGCCTTTAGTCCATAGTTTCCCATTGTGACTTTCCTTTTCAGTCTGATACCGCTACTCGCATGGAGAGTTAGAAGATTTAGAAAAGGAGGAGTAAGAAATATTTAATATCAAGATCCACTTTCCTAATCAATCTACGCGAACCCACGCTAGCCCCCAGGGTACCTCCAGACAAGGGACAGAAAACATATGTCTCTAGGCGGTTTTTATTGTGACTGAGTGTTGATGCGCCGTATATTATGTCCCGCAGTACCCAATGCACACGCTAACCCGCCTTTAGCTAGCGTATCGGCTCGGTGGAACCAATCCCGTTCGATCGGGAGGAAAGTGGAGACGAGCCCGCACCGGCCCCCTCCCGAACCCAGCCTTGGCCGGAAATCGGGGAAGAAAAGTCTTATCGAAATGGGAGAGGAGTACATATGTGTCGAGTGTCACATTCGTATCAATCTGAGTTTTATATTCTGGACAAGGTCAGAGGAGAAAATCCAGCAAAATATGCACTACCTGGGCCTAGCCTTCAATCCCTGCACGTATCCCGAAAGGACAGGGATGTTGTCCTCTTACCGAGGCTTGGCAAATATATCCCCATCAATTGCAATACAATGCCTCTGTTTCACATGCAGGCTAGCTCTAGCTCGGTCTGCACTTCTTCCGTTAGGCATAGCGCGACCCATCCCCATTACTACGATACAACATAGTCCCGGATTGGCTGGATTCTGTTAGCTTGGGCCACATTTCGAGAGATTCAGGGGCTTCGTTGGGTGTATTGCGCGTACTACTACGAAGTACCTATTTTATCCAATGAAGATAGAACAGTTGGACGCTACTCAATTGAGAACCCCTCAATCCGTCTACCCCTCCTAAGAGCAATTCCCAAATTCATCTCCTTTCTAGGTGTATTCGTCTCATTCAGATCTTGCATGACTTACATTAACATAACTGACCATGGCATCTTTCGACACCGAGTCCTCGGCAGGTCTCGAGAACGCATCTTATGACTTTGTGATTGTCGGAGGAGGTACTGCTGGCCTCGTGGTCGCCAACCGACTCACTGAAAATCCCAATATCCGCGTCCTCGTCCTAGAAGCCGGAACAAACCGTCTCAATGACCCTCGAATCATTGTTCCCGGCTTAGGGATGACAGTTTTTGAAGACGAGGACTTTGATTGGAATTTCCGATCGTGTCCCCAGGTACGCTTTTACCCACTCAATCCCCATAAAGTTTGTCATTGGCCTTATCCATGTAACATAGGAACAACTCAATGGCCGTAAGCTCTTAGCCAATAAAGGTCGCACTTTAGGAGGTTCCTCGGCAATCAATATGGGAATGGTCATCTATCCCTCTCGTTCCGGATTGAATGCCTGGGAAACATTGGGCAACCCCGGCTGGGGATGGGATGGACTAGCCCCATATATTCGCAAGTTTCACACGGCCGCACCCCCGTCGGATGATAACCGTGAGTTCTTCAAGGGGATGAAATATGACCAGCAGGATCAAGGTAGCACGGGTCCTGTTCAAGTCTCATTTGGAGATCAGTACATGCCGTACCATGCGGCATGGATGGAAACCTTCAAAAATCTTGGATACCCGCAGGACGATGACCCGATCAATGGCGCCGGTACAGGTCCCTTCGTGAATCCCGGTTCTGTGGATCCCGTTACACGCACCAGAAGTCATTCTGCAGCTGCATATCTGGGGCCGGAGGTGCAAGCTCGGTCGAATCTCCGCGTTGTAACTGGAGCCTGGGTTGAAAAGATTATCATAGAGAAGAGGAGCAACGGTGGTGATGCCGTTGCTACTGGTGTCCTGTTTAGCAAGGACTCGAGTGTGTACACCGTGTCAGTCGCGAAAGAAGTCATTCTTGCCGCCGGAACAACCCAATCCTCTCAAATTCTCGAGCTATCTGGTGTTGGAGATGAAAGCCTGCTCCAGTCCTACGGGATCCCGACAATAATCAACAACCCCGGTGTTGGCGAGAACCTGCAAGACCACGGTATTGTCTCGTTCGGATATGAAGTCGCAGACGGTATGCCGTCGGGTGACATGGCTCGGGACCCTGCCGTTGCAGGTGCTGCCATGGCCGCTTATCAGAAGGATGGCTCTGGACCCCTTGGCATGGTGCCCCTGGTCTCTGCATTCATGCCGCTTGTAGACACCCCCGAAGACGAGCGGACTCAATTACTCCAGAAGCTGCAAGCTTCGATAGATAGTCCCGACATCTCGCGGACACACAAGAAGCAATATGAAGCATTGCGCACCATACTCCAGAATCCTGACGAGGCTAATGCTCAATTTGTTCTAGCGCCATTCCAGCTTTTGCCCCGGGAAGGGGAATACCCCAAACGTGTTTTCGGTCTCGGGCACCCGGGTTTCTTTATCAGTCTTGTTTCTCTGCTTAGCTACCCTCTATCACGAGGATCCGTCCATATCCAATCTTCTGATCCCAAGGCTGCTCCTCTCATTGACCATGGAACTCTCCGTCACCCGGTTGATCTGGAGTTGCATGCTCGGCATAGTATGTGGATGGATAAGATTGCTGAGACGGAGCCGATGACATCGCTACTGAAGAAAGGTGGCGAACGCCTCCACACACCCGAGCCTCTGACGGACCTTGAGAAAGCAAAGGAGCTGTGCACAGAGCTCGTCTTGTCTATGTTCCATGTCAGCGGTACCTGTGCGATGATGCCACAAGAAGATGGCGGTGTTGTGGATTCTCACCTGAAAGTGTACGGCTCGGCTAATATCCGCGTTGTCGATGCCAGTATCTTCCCCTTGGAGCCGAGAGGTAATATCCAGGCGACTGTGTATGCGGTTGCTGAGAAGGCGGCAGATATCATCAAGGAGGATGGACTTAAACTAGATATTCTGATTAAGATGAATTAATCTCCGGGGGTGATTTTCACGGTGAGGACTGAGCATAATTCGCAGTATATATACCATCAAAGCCAGCTAGCTAGCTATCTACTTCGGAGAATCAGAAATATTGTATAGATATTAAGGCACCAAGGCATCCAGACGTCAAAGCGTCACGGCGTCAACGCCAAGAAGAAGGCGAACCACGTGAAACTTACCAGAATTGACTCGAAGCCCTCGTCTACATTATTTGTATTCTTACGTTTCTTTTCATATCAGCATGAATGCCAGGGTAATCCAGAGAGCCCCTCCATTGGCATCTCTTCTTCCTCATACACGAGAAATTGGGAGGTCGCTAAAATTTTCGCCATTGGCTGCAGGTCCGGCCAGGAGTGGTCAACGACCGTTGCATACAGGGTAAAGCCCCAAGTAACCAATTAACAGTGGCGAATCTGACGACATCTTATAGTAACAGAAAACCCTCACCGCAGAGCCTGGGTATGTGGCTAGCTACTTCTTAAAAGCCCCTCGCACGCTTATCGGCGTATCGTCCCAATGGGGAAATATGCCTGTCCCCGCAAATTTTTTTATTTGCCATGTCTCTACTTTATTGCAACACTAATATTCAATAGGGTCAACTTATCAATCCCAATCGATATATACAGCCCAATCGGCATCGGGACTTCTCACTAGAAATGGTCTATCACGACGTTCAATAGCGTCGTTGCATTTGACCCCGCCTGTGAAGAATTTATCCACTGCGCAAGCAGTTGACTCCAGGATGAATTTGAAGTTTCCTAGTCCAGACATCCACCGGGCTTTTATTGCCCTGGGAAGCAATGTCGGAGACCGAGTAGAAATGATTGAGCAGGCTTGTCTTGAAATGGAACGAGTCGGTATCAAAGTGAAAAGGACAAGTTCATTGTTCGAAACCGCACCGATGTATGTGCTTGATCAAGATACCTTCATCAATGGTGTATGCGAGGTACGTTAGCGAAAGTAATGTCCAAATTGAGAGCCAATTGTTAATTCCTATCAGGTGGAAACAACCCTTGCGCCCTTGGATCTTTTGGACACCGTTCAATCCATTGAGATTGCGATGGGCAGAAAGAAGCTCATCGACAAAGGTCCACGCTCTATTGATTTGGATATCCTACTATATGACGAGGAGACCGTCTGTCACGAGCGTCTCAACATCCCACACAATCTGATGCTTGAGCGAGACTTTGTATTGCGACCTCTTAGCCAGTACGCCCCCAATGGCTCTATATATGCTATACAGACACCCAATCAGCAAAACTAACCATCTGAATTTAGATTAATCCCAAATGAATACCCTCCACTACCAGGAAAGGACACGCAAACATACAGCACCCATCTGAAGGCTCTCTCCCCGCCAGATCCAACACCAATGTCAACAACCCCAATCTCACCACTATTTCCATCCCTGCGCGCCACAGATCCCAAGCGCAGCACCCACGTCATGGCAATCCTCAACCTCACGCCAGACTCCTTCTCCGACGGCGGCAAGCACTCCCCAACCGACCTAACCTACATAACAGAAACAGTACGCAACTTCATCGCCTCCGGCGCAACAATCATCGACATCGGCGGCGAGAGCACCCGCCCAGGCTCAAAGCCAGTCGGCGCCGCCGAGGAGATCGCCCGCGTAGTGCCAGCAATCCAGCACATCCGCACCGCCATCCCAGAAGCCGCCAACATCGCCATCAGCATCGACACCTACCGCGCCAGCGTAGCAGAAGCCGCCTGCGCCGCCGGCGCAGACATCATCAACGACATCTCAGCCGGCCTCCTCGACCCAGAAATGCTGCCGACAGTAGCGCGGACCGGCAAGTCCGTGATCCTGATGCACATGCGCGGTACACCGCAGACGATGACCACCCTGCACGAGTACCCGACCGGCGTTATCCCGGAAGTGGCTGCTGAGCTGGGCGCGCGCATTGCGGCTGCTGAAGACGCGGGGATCCGGCGCTGGCGCATCATCCTCGATCCGGGTCTTGGCTTTGCGAAGATCCAGGAGCATGATCTGGAGATCTTGCGGGACTTGCCTAGGCTGCGCGCGATGCCGGGGCTTGAGTGCTTCCCTTGGTTGATGGGGCCTAGTCGGAAGAGGTTCATTGGTCATCTTACTGGGGTCAAGACGCCGCGGGA